TTTTTATAAATTCCCGTTTGATAAAACGACGGGCATTTTTTAATTTAAAATTTTTTTAACAAAAAGGCTAAACGGAAAAAAAAAAAACACAAATGCTCTTTCCCAGCGATTCTTCCAATTTAACCCCGGCCAAAAAAAGTTTTATTACCTAAAAAAGGTAGAAACCGAAAAGGGGTGAAGAAAATCTAGGGAAAATTTTTTTTTAGCTTCTTTTTTTTTTAACCCAGTAAAGCAACGAATAATCATTTTAAGTTTTCCACAGTAAAAAAAACGTTTCTTATTTTTTTTCATTATTTTCCAAATTTAAAAATTTTTAGACAGGGGAAAATATTTTTTGGTCAAAAGGCGGGGGGAAATTTGGGGAATTTTTTTTGGCCCGTATACAGGGTGGGGAATTTTTTTTTGGTCATATATTAAATACAATAAACAGGGTTGGGAATATTTTTTATTCCGGGGGGGTTTTTGTTTTTTATAAAAATTTTTAAACCTCATCTTTCTTATATTTTCCCCAATTTCCTTCTTCGGGTGATTATAACCCAACTAAACCCCTTTATTTCGTTTTCAGGGTGGTTGTTCTAGTTCCCACGCGCCATGCCTCTTCCAATTCTGAATTTTTTTTAAACCCGGAATCGAAAATTTCCCTGAAAAAAGACCGATTTAAAAGGCTAAAATTTTCCTTTTTTTTTTTTACGGTTTTATCAACCACAATGGATTATTTAATGCTGACAATTTTTTTTTGGGTAATATTTTTTCTTAAAATTTTTGTGGTTTTTAAAAATATATAAAGGCCTTTTTTTAAAAAAAATGCATTAATTTTAATAAATTTGGTAATAATTTTTTAAAAAGTTTTGGAAATTTTAAAACATTTTTACACTTCCTTTAATGTTTTGCCCCCGGTTTGGGGGGTTAATATTTTCTGGGGCTGATTTGGGGTTCCCCAAGGGCCCAAGTGGATGGGGGAACACCAAAATTTAAAGGGAAGGGGGTTTAAAAAACCCCCTTATCGGGAGTCCTTTCATCGGATTTTATCGTTCCCCCGGGCAGAAGGAACAAAAACCCCCAACAACAAAAATGCAATATTGAATCCCAAATTAGGAAAAGCCCAAAGAAAAATCTTAATTTTCCCACCGAATAGTAGCGAAACTTTAAGGCAGCACTTCAAATCAAAAGGGTAACTATGTCCACACAAATAATTTTCACTTTCGATTTCCATCTGATAAATTTTTAATAAGGTAGTTGGTTTAAAACCAAATGGTTATGGGAATTGTAATACTACTTGTTCTTGCAAAAGGGAAAAATTAAAATTCATTGCCCCAAAGGCCCGTGCAACCTTTTTTTTTCCCGAAAACACGTTTTTCCCAAATCCATTTAAAAGTTTTTGGTTCAGGGATTGATATGGTTTTGGAAAACCAAAAAAGTCAAATCTTGATTTGACATTTATTTTTTCCCCGAAGGGCCATTTAATGTCCACCAAATTACAAAAATTCTTTTTTTTTAAATTTTATAAGGCCCATATGTAAAAGAAAAATTAATAAAAAAAAATTATATAAAGAAAGGATTTTAAAAAAAGAAAAATTATATAAAAAGGAAAATTATATAAGGGTTATATATAAAGAAAAGGTTAAAGGGGTTTCCCCCAAAAAATTTTATAAATCTTTAAAATTAAAAGTTTTTTAATACATTCCGAGTGAAAAATTTAAAATGAAAAAATAAAAAATGGTTTTGGGAAGAAGGGGGAAGTTACCCCCCTAGATCACCAGTTTGCCCTTGGTTTTTTTTGGGGGGGTTTCAAAGAAACTTGGGGAAACAAAATTTTAAATGGGAAGAAAAATGTCCAAAAAAGGGGAAAGTTTGGGGAAAGGTCTTTTTTTGATGAAAAGTCAGCAGAACGGTAACCTTTTTGGGCATTTGATGGTTTACATAAAATTCTATTTTGACATTTTTTTTTTCCATGTTTTTTTTTTTTTTTTTTGATTTTTTATAAATTTTTAAATGTTTTCTTTCTTTTTTTAATCATTTAAATAAAAAAAAAATTATTTCCAAGATTATCATTGTTTTTGGACACCCAAAGGATTTAATAAAGGAAGGAATAAGGGTTAATAATAAGAAGGATTAACCTCTTTCCAAGGGAACATTTTTCAAAAACCAAATTCAAAGGGGGCCCTGACTGTGTTTTAAAGCTGTTTTTTGTTCAAAAAAAGTTTATTTTCGAAATTGTTTTTAAAATAAAAAACAAATTTTTTATTTCTTTAAAAAATTCTTAAACTTATTTACAAAAAAAAAAAATAAGCTTTTTTTTTGAATGAAAAAGACAACCCAAAAAGGGAAAGGCCCTGGTTAAGGTAGAAAATTTTTTGTGGTGGGGAAGGAAATTTTTGACAATTCGTTTTTACCTTTTCACCCAAAATCCTTTTTTTCTTTTTCCCCAAAGCATTTTCCATTTTGCTTTTCATGGGAGATTCATGATTACGCATTACACCTTCGGGTTTTCTGTCGGAAAGGGAATCAAAACTGAGTTTCAAATTGAAACCCCAAAGGCCAAAAACATTTTTTCGCCAAATTTAAATACGGTGAATGGTTCCCCAGTATAAAAAATAAAAAATTTTTAATTTAAAAAAAAAAACTGGTCAAAAAACTTCCAAAAAAGCAATTAACAAGTAATAAACAGGACGTTGGGGGCCATGATCCTTAATTTCAAAGGCAAACCTTTTTTAAATTAAAAAAAAATTATAAAATTACAAAAAAAAACTAATAATCATACCCCCTTTTTTAAATGGATTTAAATTCATTTACTAGTTTGTCCCATCAAAACTCCGTTTGGGGCCTTAGGGGCCGTCTTTTAAATTTTTGTTTTTTTAGATTAAAACTAGTAATTTTAAACCCCGCCCGCTTTTTTATAACTTTTGCGGGTGCGCTGACACGTTTTTGACAGAAAATTACCATTTTCTGGAATACAAAAAATTAAGGTTGCCCTTTTCGTTTTTACGGGGCCCCCCGGGGCTCGAGGGGAAAATCTGTTCCCCGTTGGAAGTAGAAGATCGGTCGCTTTGGTGAAAAAAAATAACCAAGATTTCCCCTTTTTTCCCCTCACTCAAGGAATCCCGGAAAAATAACCAAATTTTTTTGAAAAAAGATTCGCTTTTCAATTCAAGAAATATTTTTGGCCTTTTTTTCGAACGGAACAATTTCCAGCTTTTGAACCACAAAACGAAATGCAAACGCGATGATTTTTCCAATGGAAAACGGGTCCGAAAATTTTTAAAAGGACGTTTCCTTGCATTCATTTACTGCCATCTTGGGAAAATTTTTTATTGTTTTTTTGGCTCATTTTTCCGGAATTACTTTTCCCCCTTATCATTACCGCCTTAATTTTTTCCGCAAATGACCGAAGTGCCCTCCCTTTGGAATTGGGGCGGCGTCGGGATGATAAACCATCCGCGTCCTTTTTGGATAAACTCTCCCCCCCTGGTAAGACGAAAAACCCTTCCGTTGTAAAATTAACCCCCCTGGGTAGAAAAACACATCCCTCCATAGTTTGAGAAAAATTTAAAATCAACAGGCCCTCGATGGGGGGTTTTTTGGGGGGCTGGCCCCCTAGGATTTTTTGGGGGAAAAGGGGTTTCCATATGGGTAAATGAATCAAAACTGGGGTCAAAACGGGGGAATGAAAAAGGTTTTAAAGAAAAAATAAAAATACCACAAAGAAATTTGTAAAAAAATTAATTTGATATCCCAAACCAAACCCCATTTACTTTTTTAACTGGAAAGGGTTTTTATAAAAAGGTTTTGATTTTGGGGGGAGGGCAGATTAATAGAAAAAAATTTTAAAGAAGGTGCCCACCTGGGGGAAAAATGCCGGAACCTTTTCCCTTTACGAAAGAGGATTGCTCCCCCCGGAAAGACAACCGACGTTGGGGTTCCCCTTTTGGGCAGGGTTTTTAGTCCCCCCCTTAAAAAAAAAATTAAAACAATATTTTGTGAGGAGACATTATGTGGTATTCAACTACAAAAACGGATAACAATGTTTTATTTTTTTATAAAATTTCCCCCCCAACCCAAAAACAAATTCTTATTGATATTACTCACCATCTTTTTTGCCACTAAACCAAATTTTTTCAAAATCCACCGTAATCAACCTTAAAAAAAGTTTTTAAAAATTTTTTAAACATTTTTAAAAAAAAATTTTCAAAAAATTTTTTATCTCACGAGAAAAAAATATTTTTTTAATTTTGGGGGTCTGTACATTCTTTGAAAAAAAAAAAATTTTGATCTTAATTTTTTTGGGAGTTAAAATGACTTTTTTTTTCAACTTTGTTGATTTTTTTTTATGGGGAAAAAAATGGTCCGGATCACATTAAAAGAAAAAAAACTCAAGGAGTAACAAATCATTTTCATTCCATACCACCCCTTGAATGAAAAGAAAAGGGAATGAAAAGATGGGTGATAGAAGAAAAGAAAAGGGAAATTTGTTCTTGGGGGTTTTCCCCCATTTTTTCCCTTTTCCTATTCTCTTCCTTTTTCCCCTGTTTATATATGTATATCTGACTCAGTCTTGTTATCTATCTAACTCAGTCACTTTTATAACTATTTATCACATTATTTACAATATATATTTCATCTATTCTTTATCTATCTATCTATTATCTATCTATCTATCTATCTATCTATCGTTTCGTTTGGTTATATGTATGTATCTATCTTTCTATCTCAGTTTATTCAGACCTATCTATTTATTTATCTATCCCGCTATATATATTGCTTCTTTTAATTCAGTTGCCTTTTTCTTGGGTAATTGTTCGCTTCTTTCTTTCCTTCTTTTTCATTCTATTTATTAATTATTTTTTCTTTCCTTTTTTATTTCACTCTGGGAGGAGGGGTATGTACGCCTGTCTGTCTGTCTCTCTCTCTCTCTCCCTCTCCCTCTCTCTCTCTCTCTTCCCCTTCCTCTTTCTCTCTATGTCGTTTCTTTTTTTTATTTCTCTCTGCCATACATGCTTTCG